TTCAAAAATATATACGCATCAAATGATGCAACAGCTATGTTCAATTGTAAACTATCTCACATTACACTGTACGTATTTTAACAAGTACCGTTCACGTTCCCGACGCTTGAGGTAAATATTAAGATTTTTTTGTGTTAAACGTGTTGGCACATTTCTCTAGTTGATAAGACCTATTGGCAGGCTCCTCATATTCAAAAATTCAACAGTGCTACAATTGGTTAGATTATTGATATTATATGATGCCATGATTCTCTCCACTTGAAGCGCGAATAAATGGGTAATCGAAGGACACAAGAGACATAGGGTTCACAAATACCGAGACTTGCGCGTGTTAATGAATGCACAGAAGCAAGCAAATAAATAATGACTTAAAATTATTTATTGTTTTATTACTATAACTGGTTTTCAAAACTTACCAAGGTTCGAATAAGAACTAATCTTTTCGAGTGTCGTGTATAATTTGCACTCTCAAATATACGACATGACAACTTGGTGATAATTTGATCAATTCAAAAATTTCAATAATTAAGTACACTTCTCAAGCACTTCTTACTTTGTTTAACTACTTTATTCTATACAAAATCATGTTATCCCACTAGTGACTGGGTCCTCAATTAATTTTGTTCTACAACTGCATACAAATGTGAAAGGCTTTAAGATTTTCATTTTGACAAGGATAGAAAGAGACAGTACATAGTTATATAGGCTAAAAAGATACGAAAGATATTTTTCTGCTGCAATATTAATATAGTAAATATTAAGCCTAGTTAAATAAAAAATTACAGTCAACTCTGTTTATACCAGAAATGTATATACCGAAATCTCTTTATACCAGACGGACTGATTCTTGCGCACCGTTCGTTTCATATGAAAATTCTTTGTTTATGCCGGAGTCTCTATGCCAACCCGTTCGGTATAAACAGAGTTGACTGTATTTGCTAAAAGCCTCACAAAGAACATTGCTTGATCGTAGACCTGACTTTGTTGTATTGGATGCGAGGACTGTATAAGATAAATCACTTTCTTTATAGCCATGTTATCTAGTGACAGTTCAAATACGTCATATTGTGTTTCTGTAACAACATTCACTATTCAAGTTTTTCTCTTAATAATGAAAAAAAAAAAAATCTTTGAGAAAAGATATTGTTGCATCGCGAACGTCCTCGTAGTGCCGATAACGATTAATAGGATTTTATATAATTCAGATTCTGAATCATGTACGTTTTTGACAATTATTAATTATAATACAAAGAAAATCTAGGACGAGTAAGCGATTTATTGTAGTCTTAATTAAGGATTAAGGATAATTTGAGGATTGCAAAGACAATCCCGTTATTGACTCTTCTATCGACACAACAGGCGTATATATTGTGCTACATTTACAAATACAGAAGCAGATGCGCAGCGTCACATGAGACTCAAAAAAATTTAAGATCAAACTTCTCAACTTCGATTTTACGTTTTACAATGACGGACAAACTAACTAGAATCGCCATTGTCAGTACCGACAAATGCAAGCCAAAAAAATGTAGACAAGAATGCAAGAAATCTTGTCCGGTCGTAAGAATGGGTATGAGGTTGCTTATATTTGGATCATACAGTGTAGCAAGCAATAGTAATATCCAAAATATAGGAGAGAATGTTCCACGGCAAGCTACGCTCTTGATTGTCCATAAACGAAAGAAAAAAGTGGGAGAGCGAGAGTATTTCGCTTTGGTAAAACAGACTTAGTATGGCGAATGCATTATCTCAAAGAATTGTCAATCAGACGCATAGCCCTCTCCTTATTAACTTCTGTTGATCCATCTTTTCTTGTTTTCTTTGCGAGATTGTTCATTAGAAATTAATTTATTTTCTTATTTATTTAGGCAAGCTCTGCATTGAAGTAATGCCAGACAGCAAAATAGCATTTATATCCGAAGAACTCTGCATCGGTTGCGGTATATGTCCAAAGAAGTGTCCATTCGGAGCGATCACCATTATTAATCTCCCCACTAATCTCGAGAAGGAAGTAAGCCACCGCTATTCTGCCAATTCATTTAAACTACATCGTTTGCCCATTCCTCGACCGGGACAAGTGCTAGGGTTGGTCGGTACAAATGGTATAGGGAAGAGTACGGCCTTGAAGATTTTGGCTGGCGTACTCAAGCCGAATTTAGGCCGTTTTGAGGTAGGAAAGAAGTATTACTCTATCGATGTGATTCCAGAAGAATAATTAACACGTCATAATCTAGGAACCACCAGACTGGCAGGATATTTTAAAATATTTCCGTGGTTCTGAATTACAAAATTACTTTACCAAAATTCTCGAAGATAATCTCAAGGTATGTCATAGTATCTTTGCCCAAATTGTTAATACGCACACGAATATTCATTCTTCTTCCCTCATTTTTTGCTTAGCCAATTATTAAACCGCAATATGTGGACAGTATACCGAAAGTAGCCAGAGGAACTGTAACCGGTTTGATTACTGCTAAATCCGAGAAGAACAATGCAGAAGAAATTATCACCAATTTAGATTTAAAGGAAGTCTTAAACCGTCAAATAGAGGAATTGTCTGGAGGAGAATTACAGCGATTTGCTATCGCAATTTCATGTATACAAAATGCAGATATGTAAGTCGTAAAATAGATACCCTTGATAATTATGCCAATGATTTCGGTTTTTTGTGAGCATTTATTCGGTATAGAAACTCATTCCCAATTGCACAATGTTTGCTAACGTTTGTTTACTTTTAGTTACATGTTTGATGAACCCTCATCTTATTTAGATGTGAAACAACGTCTGAGTGCAGCTCGTACAATAAGATCTCTTTTGGAGCCAGAATGGTAAGAATCAGACGTACGGCATTCAATTTCACAAGAGCAAATATTCACCCTACTTGATATATATTCATCAGTTACGTTATAGTCGTTGAACACGATTTATCAGTACTCGACTATTTATCCGACTTCATTTGTGTGTTATATGGAGTACCCTCGGTCTACGGTGTAGTAACTATGCCATTTTCAGTAAGGGAAGGAATCAACATATTTCTCGATGGCAATGTACCGACAGAAAACCTTCGATTCCGTGAGGAGTCTCTAACCTTCAGGTTGGCTGAAACGGCAGAAGATGAACGGGAAGTCGAGAAACATCGGCTATATTCCTACCCGGAAATGACAAAAACTCTAGGGGACTTTAGACTGGATGTCCATGCTGGATCATTTACAGACTCGGAAATCATTGTAATGCTTGGCGAGAATGGAACCGGTAAAACGACATTTATACGCCTCCTTGCTGGCATACTGAAACCGGATGGAGAGCAAGTAATCCCAGAATTGAACGTTAGCTATAAGCCTCAGAAAATTTCACCAAAATTCAAAGGAACTGTACATCAGTTGTTCTTAAAGAAAATTCGGGCATCCTTTTTACATCCACAATTCCAGACAGACGTTATTAAACCAATGCAGATTGAAAGTATTCTCGATCAGGAGGTCGCACACTTGTCTGGTGGTGAATTGCAGCGAGTGGCCATTGTACTTGTATTAGGGCAGCCGGCAGACATTTATTTAATTGATGAACCTTCCGCATATTTGGATTCGGAGCAGCGTATTGTTGCTGCCAAAGTAATCAAAAGGTGGGGGATTGATTGACTTTGAAATGATGAATTCGTGTCGATAATATTTACGGGTTATTAACGGCGTTTCTTCTCCAGATTTATTCTCCACAGCAAAAAGACTGCCTTCGTCGTAGAACACGATTTCATTATGGCCACATATCTTGCTGATCGTGTAGTGGTCTATGACGGGCAACCGTCTGTACATGCCGCGGCAAACACGTAAGTGAATATATAATAACTGTTTCGCTGCTGGAATTGTTATCATTGCATCGGTATTTTCACGTCTAATCATGTTTTAACGATGGCCATACCATAGTCCACAGTCTTTGTTGACGGGAATGAATGTATTTTTATCATCTCTCAAAATTACCTTCCGTCGTGATCCCACCAACTTCCGACCGAGAATAAATAAGGCTGATTCTGTTAAGGATAAAGAGCAAAAATTGAGTAAGTGTAGTGATTTTTGCGTCGCTTCAATCGGTGCTTTATGATATTGCTTTATGTATATAATGTCTGATCACTCATTCTCCCTTTGATGTTAGGCGGTAATTACTTCTTCTTGGAATCGGAAGCGTAGACAGACTGAACATAGTACTGAATTTGTAGCATAAGTCTTTATACTTTTATTGCTAATAAATAAATAAACTATTGAACCGTTGATAGAACTATTATTTCCCGTCTGATGTCTGATATTCCAGATCTACCACTAGATGTTACTCTAACTTCCGTAACTCCTGGTAGCAATAATTCCTGGTCGAAAAGTATACTAATCATTAATCTTCGCGTCTTTCTAAGGAATTCATTATCAGCCGCTCCTAATGAATTCGTTTTTCTAACAATTATAATTGATTTCATTACTGATCATGGTATTTTATTTCGTTTAATGTTTTTTACAAGGTTGTTCTTTCGACTTTTAATCCTAGATTATAATTATGTTGAAAGTTTTAAATATACAGAATACAGAAGGAGTCTTTCTGCTGTTGCAATTATTTCAACAGGTCATCTATCACTACTTATTTATGAGCTTGCTGCTTTCCTGTTTAGTTCCCGGGCAAGTTGGAGGAATTTCTGTAAAGCATTTCTAAAGACGACATTATCGACATCTTCATCCTGGCTGCAGGCTTCCACCGTTTCTGCAATTCTATCTTGCTCCCTTGCGTCTTTTTAATAATGCTTGCGGCAAGGGCGTTACTGGCATCAAGACCCGCAGTTTGGAGTGTCGGTGGTGCCTTGGATCCTCCCTTGGCGCAGAATATTTATCCTCTTTTTTATTTCTTGGTCCATAGACATTTTACACCGGATTGATTATTTGTAATTACAAATGCATTTGAGCATCATTAAATATAGGCAACTCCTCGGGCTCGAACGGAACATTGATGTTATAATATTCGTTGAAGATGATAACCAAGTCCCGCCATCTCCTCCTATGTGTGATAGAGTCTGGGTATTATTCCCACCCTACCGACAAGAAGTTCCTTCATTAAATGTTTTGCTATTTGAGCCCATAAATCTATATATGGGCGCTGAGTATTTAAGAAATGTTTGTGAAAGGGGTATTTGGCGGCGAGGGCCCAAATATTCATCTATTAAAGTCCAGAAGGTAATGTTCTTTTAATTTCTTTTTCGGGTGAAAGTAATTGTTGTGATAAATTCTAGTTCAGGTCCGTCAATGGATGAAAGGAAAGCTTTAAAATTTCGTCTAAACAGATGCTAAGCACCTGTTCGATTGTGAGGCTGTGCACTGCAGCGAACGCTTGCATTATGATATGAGGTAATCTTGTCGAATAAACCACGTCTTCCAGATGAGAATAATCCGGCAACGTCAATGAGGACGAACCGATCACCGGAGATATTTTTTGATCATCTCCCCACCAATCAAATAAACGACTTTCGAATTATACTGTCCACATGCATGCAAGCCATCTTCGTCCAGTATCAGTCCAAGGAAAATCTGTTCTTGACAAACTTGGCATAAAATTATATCCATTGTAATCGGTATGATTGCATTCATTAAAAGTACCAGACATATCACGGTAATGAATTGCCGGACTAGAAACATTCCCGTTTTCTGCACAGTTTGCAACTTGAGCTTGTCGACTTTCGCAATCGCCAATTATATTTGAGGATAAGAAGCCACCGCTTCTATAGTCCGGGTAACCGCCGAAACAATATCCCAAAATGTCATCGGTGTTATTATCGTTAATATTGTTAACGTGATAGCCGTAGTCCTTATCATTGCTGTCATAATTGTTATAAAAATGTGAATGCCACGTTCAACTTCAGAATTATCGGTGTTAAGGGTCTTATCAGGCAACTTTTTGAATTCATCTGCTACTGTGCTTGTGTAATTATAGATTTTGTCTGTTTGTGGTGGGTTTACAACCTCTTCTTGTACAGCTTTATTTACATCTTCTAGTTCGTGCGTTTGAGTACAATCGTCTTTACGTTCATCATTAATTTGCTCGTTCTTATTTTTCACATTATTCTCGTTATCTTCATAACGCGTTTCTCTTTTTTGGTTAACCCTGTCAAAAAAGATACGCTCTTATTCGTAACTTTTCCCTTGTCCAATGAACGTGATTTGAACTTCTTCCACTGGCTATGTAAATCTACGTCGGCACATGGTGAAAATAATGACTCGACAAGGGTAGAGTTTGACTGAGGGCAAGACGGAGAAAGGAGCATTGGAATTTGAATGTGCAGCGGCACCTGTCGATTCGTAATTTACATTTTGAATTTCAATATAACATTATTACGGTCTTTGTTATTCGCCCTCTCATGTTGTTCTCTTTCATTCGCATCAATAATATTGCGCGCTCGCCTTTTTATGCTTTTAACGACATAAACAGAACTGTCTGTTTCTAACGCCTCGTTACTGATTTCTGCTTTTTTTGCCTCATTTGCAACATTACTTGCTACTTTGTTACTTGTTTTAACAGCATTTGATGCTTTATACATTGCAAACATTTCCTGTGCATGGCCTCTTTTCAGGGTAATCCTCTCGTTTGTTAGTATCGGTGACCCAAACTTGGTCATAACACCCGATCCAGGTGCTCGCGAACGTGTAGGTGTCGAATGTATGGTGGCTTCATTATTCGTTTGTTTTCTGAGTCTGATTTTCGTGAAAGCTTTTTAAGCGTCGCGCGCTTGAACATTCTTTTCCGGGATTGCTTGGCTGAGGATACCCTGCCTTCAGCAGACGTTTTCTTTAGAGGCGTTACAAAAGCGTTTGCAGTGGTCTTCGCATGGTTGGCGTTAGTGTCTGCAAAATTGTTTTCGTCTGGATAGTTATCATACTGTCTGTTAAGAGCGAAATCTCGCTGTTCCTTAATCCATTTTTCCGCAAGCGCTCTTCTTGTCGTTGTCTTCGTTTGAGGGATTGCGTTGGAGAATGTTTCGTGTAAGCAACGGTCTTGTCGTTATCTGCCTTTTTTGATCATATGTGTACGCGACTAGTTAGATAAAGGTGAGTGAGGAGAGTGAGGAAAAATAATCTACGCGTTTTGACTGTGTTTAAATAGAGGATCAGCATGAATTTATGCACCTGTGTGGGACCTTGAACTTTGATGCAATTAAGCATATTCATTCATGTTACCACCTGTTAATCACATGTTTAATTACTCAATTTTATATATTGCTATCCTTTATAACATGCAACAATTATCAATCTCTTTGTCAGTAAAGTTTGTTAAAATATATACGCATGCGATTGACGGATGAACAGATTACGCAAATACATGGTGCAAATTGATAAGATATTTGTCATGTAGACCTCTTATTCATAAGATACGTTGCATGTAACTATGCATATTAATATCTAATATATCGAGACGGATAAAATATAAAATATATAGTGTCACACAAGACCCGGAGTACATTTATTGTAATGCAATATGCTAACAACGGTGATCTTTTGTCTTATTTGGAACAAATTGACGTGGAAGATGAAATTAGGGTACTTGAAGTATATTTTGCGTGCTGTCCATTTGTGCATTGTGATCTTCATGCCGTACATATTAATATGGATCTTTGATCGGTGAAATCGCGTGAATCAACCATTCGAGGCGTTTTACCCGGAAGTCTTCCATACTAGTAAATTTACTCAGAAATCAGACACATATGAACTTGGTATTATTATGTATTCGGTTGCCTCTGCTTTTAGAGATAGGCAGTTCGATAGAGATTCATTCTGGGCGGACTACGACCATTGATGCCTGATTCTGCACCAGATGAACTTGCCGAGTACATCTTCTGTGAGTAAATTATCTAAAAAATCCAGAAGAGAAGTCGCATTTCATCACAGGCACAACGACAACTATAAGATTTAACGAATCTGTTTACAGTTGTGATTTTCGCAGAACCGATAGTGAAGAAATACGAGACATTGGATTCTTGTTGATTGTTCAAGTATGACTGATAGTGTATTTTGCTCCGTCCGCAATTTGGGAGAAATCGGGCCAACAGGCCGATTAATGAAATCTGTAAAGACGTTGGTATACACGTAACTGTGGTTAGGGCTCCTTCAATAGTTAAATCAGAGCGATGCCCTTTGAGCTTAATCCTTAAAATATCATTTTAGGGCCATCCCACATATCGTTTACATCACAATTTTAATGGCCAGAGCTCCCAGAGATTACTTTTTTTTTTTTAATCAATCTCAGCGTCGAATCGTTTCAATGGTTTTTTGTTCGTTGGGTTTATTCTCAGGAGACAAAATTCTCTGATCGTGGCAAAGGTTAAATTTCTAGATTTTATGATCTTAATTAATTTTCTCATATTGTACGCGTATATTACAAGGTATGCGATTTAAGAAGGATCCAAGAATCAATACCCTAAAAACGAATTCGGTTAGAACGCGGCCAAATCAATTGTCATGCCCAATTTGGCTCAATTACACCAAACGCCTCAAATTTTTTTGCAAGAAAATCATCAAGGAACTCTTGTAACTCAATATACTAATAGTAATACGGGAGCCCACGCTCAGTTCATTATACTTCTAATCCGCGAATATAACAGGTATGCTATGCATTTATTGGCCACATGGTTAGAACACCGTGCTCTAAGACAGCGTAAATTCAATTTAAACAAGCACAGTATATCATATGGTATTCGGAATTATGTCTTTTTGTCCATGCATGCTCACATACGACCCATCACATCCTCAATATTAGCAACTTGGTCACAATATCTTTATCACAACACGGTGGTATAACAAGCGTTTACATCACGTTAACTCAATTTTACATATATAAATACAGTTTTTTAGGAATAAATAACAATATGATGGTACTGCCTACGTTGATAGGATATTAGGATAAAATTAAAGAAGACGAGGAAGAATAAGGAGTACGTATGTATGTAACAAGACGCAGTTCTAGAACAAATGTTCAAAATGGAAATTTCTTACAACCAGGGAAAGAAAACTGAAATGTCCGCCATAGAACATGAGCAAGTGTTGAACACCCACGAGCTAAACCCTAAAACACAAATTATATCTCTAGTTTTTTCTACTAATTACCGTCTCTATCGCGCTGCTTGTGCCCCTGTCCTATTGATATTGTAGTTGTCCAGATGCCTTCATATGAAATTATTCCGATTAAATTCGCTTTCTACAGGAAGTATATCTTCATCGTCGTCATAGTGACTGGACGTTGATCCTGTGCTCCTTGTTGCGTCAATTTCAAATCTTTGGCTGTCACTGCCACTGGCATAGCCATATTGAGGAAATGCATTGTAGGTATTAGCAGATTGAGATAATGGGGGTGGTGATAAAGAGCGTTGTGAAGTAGATGTAAAATTGCGCGGTACAGGAGATTGCGCGGTATACAACGTGGGCAATAAAGCAGGCGTTGAATGTGTTGAGACGGGTGACAAATTCGGCGACAAAGTGGGCAATACAGAGGGTGGTAAATTCGGCGACAAGGTCGGCAATATGGAATAAGGTGACCTACTGGTCGGCGTATCAGACTGTCCAACTGACGTGCCAGCAGGATAACCAGTAAACGAAGTAGCTGATCTGTCGGCTGTCCACCCTCCTAGCAATCCGCCCGATAATCCACTTGACGACATTCCTGTAGACGTGTTGCTGAAAACCCCGGTGGTGTTCGTATTATTTTGACTTTCACTTGCGAAATTATTTCTGCTCTGGTATTCCGAATTGTTTCCACTTCCGGTTAAAATACCATTATCATTCCCATCGTCATGCTTCCCGGCTTCAATATTAAAATCTTCAGATGCAGGGAATCCAACGTGAACAACACTCGCTCTCTCTCTCTCATCCGGGTTAACAATAAACAGTGTACCCCTAGCTATTGGACTTTCTATCAACGATCCATTATCACGGCGGGATGGAGCGTACGGGCCAGAGCTTACGTCATCTGGCTTTTTCTTAGTGCCAAATATTTTCTTGGCAAACCGAGAAAGAAACGAACTAGACTGACCAGGTTGAGGTACTCCGGGAGGAGGAGCAGTAATATTGTCAGAAATGATATTTTGCCTTCCAAACGTACTATATTCGCCTGCAAGTGGTTGGCGTGGTGGTTGATAAGTAGTGCTCTCCTCTGCCGTACTAGATACTGGGCCAGGATGCATCATTACTACTGAATCAACCGATCCGACTCGTCCATGCACGGGGGGGACATTAGTGGCGATTCCGGGTGACGATGATAATGATATTGGTATATTATGATTCCACGGCTGAATATTGGTCATTTGTCCTAGTGGAGTAGTTCGTCTCGGTGAGCTCATAGACGCGACTGTGTCTGAATTGTTAGATGGTAAGGAATATGAGCTTTGCATACTGTTATTGCGTTCGTCGAGCGCATCGCCAAAGTATTGTGGTACAGCTACTGATGTTGTTTGGTTACCATTGCCATTAATCGGCGGATGTCTCTTTCTTATCCATTCTAATTTTGATGGACGGTAATAACTTTCATCTGTCATATCAGCAAAAGATAATCGAGTGCTTTGTGACCCGTGATATGTGGACTCATTTTCATCTGATACGGTGCCACTCACCGACCCCTCATGGACATGCTGGACATGCTCATACGTATGGGGTTGGGATTGGTGACGAACAACAGCAGCATTACTTCCTCTACGATCCTCCTCACTGTTACCCGCACTGCTTCTGTTTTTATCACTAGGCGCTGAATATCTGGTGTTTCCTTTGACGTCTGCTATCTGTGGTATTTCGTCATTTGGGAGTATTCCACACCAACCGAATAATACTTCAAGTAGGTGTTTCAAAGCGAGAACTGTGAAAGTACAATATGCCAGCCCATGAAAAGTGATAACGGCATACCCGACTATCTCTCTAGTATCACTTGCGATATTAATGTTCGGAATAAGCAAAAGAAGCAGTCCAGATATCAACGTCCTGAACACCCCTAAGGCTACATACATGGAGTTCAACCCTCCCTCTTTATAGGGCTGCTTGACAACTATAGCAATCAAATACAATATTTCTATTAAGAGCAACAAAGCTACCTGTGCTGCACCACTGTCTTGTCCACTTCCAGTGACCATCGCTCTGAGAAACAGGTATATCCATACAACTATTAAAAAACTTGTATACTCCTTTTTAAATGTGTTATATAAAGTGCCGTAGCGTAGTAGCATATGAATATTTGAGTAGAGTTGATCGCTATTACGTAACAGGTATATTGATATTACAATAGGCAGTATTAGGCATGGAATGATTACGACTATCACAGCTAGAACGGTGAACCATGCAGGGGTGATTTTACGTATCGTCAGCTGGTAGAAGGCTGCTGCGAGAAGCGGAAAGTAGAAGAGAAAGAAGACGCGTAATAGACTTCCTATATAAAATAAGACAACGGCGGGTTAGTCTTGATTGCATAAGTACTGTAATAGTGATTATTATCAATATCCTTATTGTATCAGTCTCGTTCACCATCACCATGCACATGTTACCTTGTAAAAGAGAAAACCCTTTAGCCGTGGATCCTCTAAACTTCCCGGAGAATGTTGACTTCAATGTCTCCCACGATCCCCATATCAGCCCACACATCGCAGCCACGATTGCGAATATTATTAAAAAAATAACCAAAGTCTCCGGAAACAAGTTCCCCGGATGTGGATCCGTAAATAATACATAATTGCCAAAACCTCCATACAAAGCAAGACTCTCTTCCAGCGTCAATACTACTAAATTTTTTGTCTCGGACAAGAATATACCCGCCCTCTTAGTAACCTCCAGGGCCTTCGTCTTGATGACGTTTATATCACTGAGTACGGTAGTTCCATTCTGAATTGATATTATCTCACTGTGATTAAATATCAAACTACCCCACCCAAAATGACTCATAAATGGCTGATAATATCCGGGATAATCCAACGAGAGCTGAGCAGTTGAGACTGCAAATTGAGTATAGAACATTATATCAAAAAACCCTGGAGTCTTTAACCTTAAGACTTGCTCCTGACTGCTTGTAATTTGGAATAGATCAGTCGTGAGTTGACCGGGACCGAATACACTTGCAACTGAGCTGACAAGCCAGGTGAATAGAGTCATTGAAGCAGGAAGCCATGTGAACACTTGAGAATAGTAGTTGTATTGAGGAGTAAAGTCAAATTCGACGCACGTAACTTGAGTTGCATTTTCATCGGATGCTTTGTAGGTTACAGTTAGAGTTGTAAGTGGGACCGCGCGGGGTAAGTTCACCAACTGGAAAAAAAGCGAGAACAATAAGGTGAGACAGTTGACGCAGAGACAGAAAACATTGAATTCATATGAGAACTGGTAAAATTGATAGATCATATTCAGCGAACAGTATTATACTGTTAATTCGTCTACTATTACCGATATCCAACCGTTACATCTGACACTTGTATATTATTAAATTACCTTCTCTATTGTTATAGGTCCCGCAGGATATGGACACGCAACTTGAAGACAATATTGTTCCGCGTTATCGACTAGCTTTTCGCTCAGTACTTTAACAGTAGTGAATGCAGTCGCTATTGTGGGTAACATTGATAAGTAAGTATCTTCTTCATACATTTTTAATTTCTCTCTCTGCTTGTTATTCTCACTTACCCAGAAAATTCGGCCCAGTTCCTGATACTTCCTTATTCGAAGTCCCTTGTATGAAAAAAGCAAGTGTATTTTTATTTTCATTGAATATGACTTCCACACTGCTGACATTGAGAGAGTTCTGGTTTGCACAGCTTCTAAAGGACACTTGAGTTGCGCTCACACATTGAGTTAGAGCTATTATTGCTACGAGTAAAAGTGTGAGCATATGCATAGTCTATTATTATTATCCAAATGATATATACAGGGTCTTATGTTCTTTCTAGAGGATCGCAGTCTGGTACTCTGTACTCTTCTATTAAATTATGGCACTTGGTTGATCACTTTCCCCAGAGCTCTAAAGTGTTGGGATATGTGCGATGCACATAAGGGGAATGTAGCGAGCTGTTAATTTGTAGGCTTGGTACGTGCGAAGTTTTTTGATGGAGATACTTGTACGAGCGTGATATATTAGTGAGTGTCACACTGGAAGCTTTATAGTCACGTTACAGTAACATCGATTACTAACCTATGTGAGTAATAGATATTGTCAATAACCGTGTTAAACAAAGGAACAGCGCAGCTTAAGCTAAACAAGGGAAAGGGTTATATCCTTGAGACATTTAATTGAGGGACTGCATGTCAATTGTATGGTGATAACAAAATTTTTCGTATTATATTATTTATAGTATATCATAAATGCATCTATTACTAAAAAGTATTGCCTTATAATAGCATCCTGATCTGATCTATTGTTCTCCATCCCATTTGGTAATGATTGTCATGGAAATCTATTCTTGCTATTTTTAAATCGGTATTAATATTAAGCTTAACCCTGCTCAGGTCGGGAAAAAGCACAAATCACTCGTAAATTGATGTTCATAATATTAATATAGCTATTTCCGATGACTAAAGAGCTCCCTTTTTTGATTTTATGGAACAGGAAAGGTGATTTGTTTTTTATAAATCGGTTCGCATATATCATGCCTTGAAAATTCTAGATATCGATTTAACTCACGCCAATTGTGGAACCTTCTTTGTATAGACATTTATGTATGGATGTGGTGTCGTAAGACTTGGCACTGTTTCAGAATTCAAAAAATAACAGAAAAAAGGTCAACAAAGCGAAAAGGCTAGGGTTGCACCATTTTGATCATTTGATGCTATCCATTGTTTCTGTAATACCTATTGAGGTTACGCAAATATCTGTAACAGTCATTGCATCATTTATAATTTGTCGATAGCAATAGATATTATTAATACAGTATAAATCAAATAATAACGGTCTCTGTGCATTGGTTCATAATTCTTTGCAGACAAGAAGAACATTCTTCTCTCGTACTTTTCATCGATCGCAGGATGTCAAGTCTTCTTGACCTGATTCTAATAAGGTGAGGTTATTATCTTTAACCTAATTCCTTAAAGCATTAAAACAACGTTATCTCAAGATTCAACATCTTTGTATATTTATTACGTCGTCTTAGTTGAACTATCTTTGACATAGAAAAGTCTGTCGCAAGCTCCCTAATATAAAAATCTTAAATTCTAGATGAGAGCATCCATCGTATTCAGCATTTGCATCCATATTCTAAAACCTTGATTCATGCTTTTCATCGTAATAGCATCCCCAATGTTAAAGACGCGGTTAGTATTGTGAACGTCAACATAACCCCATTTGCCACCGCCCTCTGTATACCATTATATTGTTAGTACGTTGTTTGTCGAACGCCCCACAAGTAAATAAAATTGTCCTTGGTTATGAACGTCCAACAGATGCAGGAGATGACCAAGTTTGTATGATATTCACAAGTTTGACATTTTTTTCACGAATATTCTTCAATGTCATTGATAAACTTTAATTTTAAGTTTCAAATTTTCTAATTAACGTTAAAATTCTCCTTATTTATCACGTAAAACGTATTAGCATGGTTTACCCATGTTCTGATTAGTAAATATTGACCTCACGAATTTAGACTATAATGTATGATTGGTATCGTTTGCCTGATTCGTAAAAAACAAGTTTTCGAAACCGATGAAAGCCTATACACCACCTAATTGGAAGAGAACGACATGTTGTAACGTTGTTAACTTCTTTTTTTGCGCTTTGGGGACACTAACACATGACTATCGCGAGGAACTCTTATTCACAACGAGGTGCTCGCTAAAGCCCAATTTAAGCTGTTTTTATCTATCTACATACATGCAGAAGAAGAGAATAAAAGTCCATAGTGTGGGTTTATTGGGGGGAATGAGGGAAGGTATCTATTCCTAGATAAGTTAATGAGTGATGGTATTCTATTGGGACACTAACACATGACAAGCTTGGTCTCTATTACAAAATGAGGACCATTCTTGAAACTTGCGCAAAATCAACCTTTGTTCTCATAATAATAACATTCAATCCTGATATAGATAATGGTTTCCGTTTACAGCCTAATCATGAAAGCTCCCACATTGATCTGTAAAAAACTGTAAAATTCAACTAGCATAATAACCGATATCTTTGAACTATACCTAAATATATTGCTTGTTATAGTCAAATTATGCTCTTCAAGATTGGTTAGCATTAGTATCGTTGATTGAAACCCGTCCCGAAATCCTACTGCTCTCATCTGTCATTGTTACAAGAAACCTTCAATTGGGTTTTTATCCACAAACCTTATGATCTCGGCACATACATATTTTATGAACGTTAACACAAATCATATGCTACTACTCGAATGAAACTTGCAATTTTGCTTCGCTCTGATAACCAAGGTAATATAATTGTATTATTTCAAATACTCAGGGCTTCATGCATATATCATAATAGTTGCTGCCAGACAGACTATTTAATAGTAGTAATCGTGATTAAATAACATACTTCTCGCGTATTAATACAAATTATAATTGCATTTGGTCAAAGAGAATAAAAATTCTTTCGCCATTGTTATTAAATTCAGATTATTATGTACTTCACAAGCTCTGCTTTACAGGTCTCTTTTGCCTCTAGTATAATTTGATTCTGCTATTCACTGTTTATGTTGTCTAGTATGATATTTCAATGGATCTGCATCTTGGTTTATCTTTCATAGATAATAGTGTTAATTCATCACTGTGGTATTATCTGGATTAATGCACATATATTTATGTATAGTATCTCTGTCAAGCTCTTATCACATAATCTTAATTATTCACACTTGAAAGAAATGGAGTATCTGGGGTTGTTAGAAGAGGTCTTCAAGATCTTAGACATTGATGTCTCTTTCCTCATTTTGAGATTTTTGTTTTTGTGCTTTGAGAAAACTTTCTTGCAATAATTTCCTCTCTTTCAATTCCTTTCTGATAAGTTCATCTGGATAAAAAATACCCAATAACAAAATCTACTTCAATATGCTTAATAAATTGCATCCATGCGGTAAATCAAATAGACCAACATACCAAATCCTTCAGCTTCATCTGGCACTCCCAGCTGGTTCATCATCCGTTGCTCTAGCACAACCATAGATAGCTGTTCTTGTAGTTCCTGATATCTATCTAACCTCTTTTGATGCTGTCTAATCCTTTTATTCATCATCATTGAGACCCATGCTGGCTGTTCCCATCCACGTACCCGCCATAGACGATAGCCCAATGACGTAATTACATCATATCTTATAACGGGTCTACGCGGACGTTTTTTCTTTCGCTTGATTCTTTGTGGTAATAGAGGTTCCGGGGGAGGGGTATAAACACACGGATCAATGGCTATTCTATAAGCTGGGTGTGAATCTTGTTTGCGTGAAGACAGGACGCGAATGTCATACACAAATGGGTGATGTTTGGGCTGCAATCAGAAATATAAACATATAAGCAAAATATTATAAGATATAATCGAGTGACAATGAGAGACAATAGAAATCCCCTTACTCCTTTCCACTTGTGGAGCTGTTATAAGAGTTGCAATTGTATCGGTTCAATTTGTTATCAGCTACTTGGATTCTCTCTGAATGGCATACTAAACCTGAAGAGTAAGGTAATTTACCACATCCAAAACTTCTTTCAATCTCCCTTTTCTTCCCCACGAGAGATCATCAATATGCTGTATAGATTCTTGATCACCATCTAGAGCTTTCTCTAAAAGTGACTTACACTGCAACAATGATAAACGGGTCATAATGTGAGTTATTTCTTGTTCTTCTTCCCTTCAGCATACCAAAATTACAAGCCCGACCTCTTCTGCCTCCTTCAGATAGTTGGCCGTTTTTTGGAGAGAAGTTTCGTGTCTCCGGGATCTAAACTTGTCTCTTAATGAAAAGTATAGAAATCTTTTGTGGATGTCCTTATCAAAACGTTTTGCTGTTTTCAAAAGTGTCCTATAAAGCGACAACACTGGTATCCGATGCGCGTCAAGTGTCCAGAAAGGCCTTCTCGGTCTGCGTATCATTGAAACGATCAATTACAGTCTGTGATTTGTGAAATTTACCGTTGATATCACATGCAGGATTTCATGGATCTAGCTATTCATAATAATAATGTTGCCAACACATAGAGTGGCAGTCACCCCATCCACCTTGCAGCAAACAGTGAACAAAAGTAAAACAGGAGTAAAGATTGCTCGGTCGCATGCTAAAGAAAGTACTGCGCGACTAGTGTTACGTTGTTGGTTCTCCTCGGAGAATAAAAGCTCAGGAAAAAATGGGGATAAGACTCGATCGGTAGGAAATGTAATAGCAACTCAAGAAAATATGCTTCGCGGTAAGCTGTCTGCTGCACTCTCGAACATACAAGTAATACGCGAGAAACAGATACACAATATACAAAAAGGACAGGAAACAATAAAAAAAGCTCTGAACGAAGGTTCGGGATACGACGATATTGAACGCATAAAACAGAAAGTAATTCAGCAAGGTTTCTTTCACATTTATTATTTGGAATTTCAAATCTGTCGGGGAGGGAGGAGGGGGGGCAAATCTTGTCTTTCAAAATAATCATCGTTCACCTATATTATAGAACGTCAACTTCAAGAGGCACGCCAACAACTGTCAGTCTCAAGAAATGCATATGAACAAGCTATTGCAGCCCAATCCAAAATTCAACGCGAGGTCAATGACCTCCTTCAGCGCAAAAACCAATGGACCAATGACGATTTTTTACGTATAACTCAATTATTACGTGATGAACAAACCATCGAACAAAAAGTGATCACGACGCGCGAGGATTGCCATCGCTGCGATAAACAAGTCGAACACGAGTTTACCGAACTTATTCAAGTCATGATGATGAGATATCACGACGAGCATATTTGGAGTGACAAAATTCGGAATTGGTCAACATATGGCACTTTTGCTTTGATGGCGTCGAATATAGCATTGCTTATCGGGGTTCAAACAGTGGTTGAACCGAGAAAGAGGCAGATATTAGTGGATAGAATTAAAGTAGAGACCGATCTATTAAAGGAGCAATTAGCAAATGCCGTGGCGTTATTAATGAAAGAGGATGAAATTAAGGGACTGAGTATCAATAATGGGGACGTTGAAGGAGAAGATCAGTTTAACGCTCGGGCGGAAACGAAGATAGCAAACCCCATAGCATATGACGAGACATTTTGGAAAGGAGCTGTAGTGGGTGGGGCTGTAGTGGGCAGTGCCGTTTTGGGTATTTTTGTTGCTGTCGTAGCAGCTAATTTAAAAAAATAACGAATCTTCGACCGAGCAAGAGCAAATAGACATGTAATTTATCTAGTAGCTGTAATATAAATCATCTTCAACAGTTGATTGAAAATCTGATTTTTTTTTTCCTTTGTTCTCTTTTTATTGATAGACCCAGCATCTGAAATGCTATTGTAACATGTATAATGTAAACGAGAATGACTTAAACGCGATATACAGTGTGTCACGAAAAAAGTGGCAAAGAAACTATTGATTGTTGTGCTACAACGGTTAGAGTAATCAATGAGCTTTATACTTCATTTAATAGCTTATGAGCAGAGGTTTTATTGCCATAAGTTAATAGATATTTCCCATAATTAGCTTACATTTTTGTTTTATCGATTTCACTAAATTGATTAACATAAACCGGCCTAACTACAATGTTTGGTTGGCCAATCGCCATAAATTTTCTATAGGATTTAAGAACTAGACTGTTGACAGGCCACTAATGGTCTGCAATAATGTGTATTCAAATTTGATCTAGATATTTTGTAATAGCAAAAAGCTGGTTGAGCAAAACAAAGGTTTGAACTTGTTTGACAGTTTAAAAACAACCGCAAAACAATAATTTAAATTGCATAAAATATACGCGTTCGAAGAGCTTCTATTTTTTTGCCATTTTTTTCGTGACACACTGTATTTACAGTAAATTAAAGGAATTTAGATGCACTTACAAAATGCTGCAAGTATTATGAACTAACTCATTTTGCATAACTACATCACATATCTCATTGAGTTCTATTTTCTCTAATTCTCAGTCGAGACCTTGCATCGCTTATTCAAACCATGAGACTCTCCGACGTAATCCAACAGACAAAAACTTGGCCGAACTAAGGCATCTTCCGTTCCCGCTGATAAAATTTGAACAAGCGAACGAAATAAAAAAGAAAACATTTCGCCGTGTAACATGTCACTCTTCTCTAAAATTTTCTATCGCGAGGGACTTTTATTCACAACAAGGTGCTCGCAATTTTAGTCATTTTCCACAGTGAAATTATTGAAACTCGTATCAGTAATCTCAAAGATGAAGAATATAAATAATGCAAAAAAACTAATTTGTATAGAGAAAGTAGAGAAGCATGAAAATGGCCTAAAAAATTATATCTTTATTCATTTTACACACACTAAAATAAATAAAAAGTAACGTGAATCAAAATCGAATTTCTTCTCTTTGTATACATAACACTCAATATTATTTACTGTAACAAGGGCATAATTTGCTATCCTAGAAATCCAATTATTTTAATAAAGAGCCTATTGCATAATGTTGCGAAAAGATGCTACTTGGTTAGAATCAACAAAAGCTTTTAAGAATATGTTTATTCATACATTGAATGGCACTTTGATCACTGATTGAAATGATAACTTGAAGTTGACAGAGTAAACGCCAAGTCTTTATTAAAAACATAAACGAAACAGTACAACCGACTAAAGTCAAACAACATATATCATACGATCCACGGGCTTTTCTCTACACGCCGAATTCGAAACATTTGAAAGTTACGCTACATTCTGTGTTAGTCCTTGGGTTTTTAGCGTTGACTTTTGTTTCGTAATTTCCAAAAGTCAACGACAGCTCTATTGGTCGGTCTTTACCCAAGTGTTTGTCGGGCAAATCAATAATCCATTCTCTTATTAGGCTTACACCTTCATCGTCTACATATTCGGGATCATAATCCCGCGACGCGTAAATATTCACGCTCATTTTCGTCTGTCGTGCGTTGGATGGATAATAAACTTCACTAAAAGTCTGGTTAGGTCGAACCGAGTCTCCACGGCGGGCCAAAATCGAGAATTTAATAATCGTGTTGCGTTCCGTCTTACGTTCTGGTGGGTCGTCTTTGGCAAATGGTATTTCAATGTTTGTGCCATATGAATAATTGAGCACACGTGTCTTGACGGTTTTACTGAAACCGAACAAATCTGATTCGTGGTCATCCTCAATACTTAAACCTGTGTAGAAAAAAAAAAAGTATTTTTCAATGAGAAAAAGTATTTTCCCAAAGTATGTTGAAGAAATTCCAATTAAGGAAGAACCGGGGAAACTCACCGTATAAAGTTGCACCCCGTTGAATCGCCGCAATCGGGTTAATAGGAGAAGCGATTATATCAACTTCGTAGCCAAATGTTTGTTTGACACGTTCCATGAGATAGGGCGATTGGCTATGCATGAAGCTAATTGAGTTTGCTGTTTGGCTTTCATATTAATTGATTACAGAGATCTTTCGCCTACCTGTATCCACCGACTAGGAACATTGCCGAACAACGGTCGCTTGATGCTTTCAACTGTTTTCTACCAGAAAAGCCAAGATAATAGATTAATTACAAGATGCGAATACTTTGCAAACTGGTATAAGGAGCTAACCTTATCAAGTCAATAATTGCTTGAATTGACGGTTCAAACATCGTCTTGATATCATCATAAGTGAATTCAAATAGCCAGTTGAGAGGCTCGAGCAGTGCTTTCTTTTCGGCGCTCGCTTCTGCCTTTAGAAAATCATAAGCCCTCATACTTATGCGATTGTTTACGTACTCACTACGCTCATTAAAATTAAACTTGATGGGGCAAAAGAAATTTTGAATCAAATACATGAATCTACGCGCATGTATTTTGCGTAATTCGGCCATCCTGTCGCGAGTGATTCCAAGTCGCTCGGCCACCTGGTTGATGAATTCATCGTCTACAGAAGTGCTACCGCAGTAATTACCCATCGACTGTGCAACTTCGCCCAGTTGTTTATCTGTTAGCAACTTTCGTGTAGTAATATCAACCGTGCCGCCGCCACCGTCAACGATCATGAAAGTGCCTGTATCAAGAATTCGTTAGCGCAAGGCTAGTGTATCAGAGACACCGATTTGTGTTGGTTTGAGTACTTACTGCCTTCTGTGAGATCATACTGATCCATTAATTCGTGACAATACACGGCAGCAGCCTCCGCTTAAATTGAATAAACGTATGAGATGGAGCGTAGTAGTAGGTGTTTGAATATATTATACATAATCATATTCCTGTGATCTTACGTTCGGATATAAACATCGCATTCTCCATCCCTTTTTGTACCAGACCAGCGTCAACTGCACACCTGGTCATTATATCTTTCGCCTTGTGATTCCATTCCACCGGTAATGTAAAGACGAACAAAACATGTTTGCCAATATCGGTAGCTAGAAGATACAATTATTAAATTTGTGCACTATACATCTTGGAAAGCCAGATACTATTCAAAAGATTTTACCACTCCCCCATCGAGACTTGATATGTGTTTCAACTTTCTGCAGATACTCGTGTTAGTACAACGTCACACAAACAGCATATTATTACCGAAAAAGCTCATACTTTCTGCATTTCCTTGAGAAAATCTGTTATAGCTTTACGGTAACTCAATCCATCGGGCAGCAAAGGTTTGCGTGCTGTCGGGCAGGTATCAGAAAGACACAATTTGAAGCATTCCACAACACAATAATCGTCACTCGACAAACTGCTCCCATAGTCTTCAACGCAATCTGCAGCCGAATTCCCCCACTGAACAACTTTGAAATCTTTATCATAAACGAGGACGGTGGGGATTTTGTGCGAGTTTGCTCGGGTTAATCTGCCCAATGGCCTAATTGCATATTAATATACACACACACATGTAAATTAATAGACTCGCGATTCACGCAAAAAAGTCGCTACGTTCATATATATTTGACCATTTCATATAAGTTTCGACATCTTTAGGACGACGGATATGACCAACCGAGAAGCCAGAGAATGTTGTCCCAAAATCTTGTGTGCACGAATTATATAAAAGTTATTGAAGCCTTATTATTATAAAAGAAAACCAAGATGAAAGTTGATGAATATTGCCATACCCACTCCGACGACTACGCGAACATCTTTGGTAGCGCTCATTTCTCAAATTTAATAATTGTTCTTGGCAATAAACTTGGCGGATAGGAAAAAGTTCCTTGCTCACATTAATTTTAAATACTTTATAATTCATTCGCGCGCAATATAGGCCGCTTCTGTAAGCAGGACGACGTGTCATGCTTATGGTTACACAGGTCTTATTCAACTTGCAATGTTCTGTGGGAATAAACAACAATTGGCAACAATGTAACAATGATAAGTGTTATTATTCTCTGTACAAGTCTTGTCCGATCGAGCAAGCAGTTTGCAGAAATAGAACTACTCGATACCTTTTTTAATATATTACATTTCTCATCAGATGCGCAATACTTTATTGACTATATTGTATTCTCTCATCAGAATCATATGACATAGAATGTGCGAAATCTTTCTGGTCGCATTACATGCTCTCATCAGCATCTATTTTGCATTTTCTCATCAGGATGCGTAATCGTTAGTATGGATTGCTCTCACAAAATGCGCAATTCTTTTCTTTTTAGTTGGTCTTGTAGAATGTATTATCTATCGACCAGATTGCACTCCGTATTAATGATGGTGTGAGACTTTTGTACGAAAATTAGTTCTCAGACCTAATAATTTTCAAGCGAGCGTCTTTCACACGAAGGGCATTGGTACAAGACATTTGTCATCCAATCGCAAGAACGGACTGACCAATACTTATTTGCCATCAATGTTTAAGCGAGCAAGACGCAGTTGAACTTTTTAGTTGTGTTCTCAAACAATAATCGAAAAAGCCAACAGACGATATCACCATGTCCTCCTACCCAGCAAGATATCGCAATAACAGCAGACTCGCCAAACATGGAGATGATGGCTACGGAACGACTCACTATTCTCAATTAATGGACTGTGAAAATCGTACATGCAAAGAACGACAGAAAACACTATCTCGTCTGGAAGATGAGAATAAAAAGAAAGCCGAAGAATTAAATAACTGTTTCAAAGAATTGACTAAAGCGAAAGATCAAAAGGTTCATCAAGACAACCTTATAAAAGATCTGCAACAAAAATTGGACCAACAGAAAAGGAAATGTGCAAGTTTACAAAACTCGAACAAAATGCTGGCACAACAGAGCCAGCAGATCAAAAATGACTCTGAAACTAAAGTCGAGGAATTGTCTAATGAATTAAACGAAAAAAATTTAGAGATACAAAACATAAAAGATTCTCATAGTGAATTCCGCCAACAAGCGTTACAATGGCGAAAAGAAGCTTCTGAACTTCAAGCTGCTCTAGGAGATTTTGGCAATGCCGAACTTGCCGATGAGAATCCGAATAACACTACAAATTTCGAAGGCGAAATTACCGAGTTGAAGCACATTGTGAGTCAGGTTTGTCTGGTGGAACTAGCCAATTCGGTAAACGAAAAGGCTTCGGCTTCTCTTTTAGAACACAGAGCTTATACCAAAAATCGCGCCGAACGTAGAGGATTACTTTCTTGTCTATTGCAAAAACATATTATCCAGTATATCTTAAAATTGTGGGACGAATCCTTGGAAAAGTATACGCAACGTGGTATCGGAGAGGATTTTGATTTTGTGCATTTGGAAAATTCAGCTGCAAAGACTTGGGCTTCCGCACCCATAAAAAAATTCTTTGTCACTTACGTGAAACCCGTCGCTCAATCAAACCGAGCGAGCGAAACCGCGCCTTTCCCACATGAATATGATGACATCATGTCGATGACAGCACACGCGATGCAGTATTTCGACGGCCTCGAAAAGGCTTTAAACGAAGTTGACAAGAATCGGGAAGATGCTCAAAAGTTAATTACCAAGATACGTCAACTATTGCTTCCTTGTCTTTCCAGTAAAGTTTGCACGCCACAAAATCCAACGATTCAAAACATCACAACGAGCGTCTTGAAACGTTTGCGGGAATATCGTACTATTAAAGATTCAAACTATCTCAACGATGAAGTAAACTTGGTCAGACAATTGGTACCAAAATGCATAAAACTACTCGGTATTCAGTTCAAAATCTATTATCCCAAGGCAAACCTCAAATGGTACGAGTGCAAAGAAGTTCTAGAAGGGGAAGCGCGTACATGGATAGATATTGATGGTGGCGACAATGGTTCTATGGTAAGCGTATATACGTTTAACAGACTACGATTTGTCTCCGTGACTGATAAAATAATGTTTTTGTTTTTGTTTTGCCGTTGTCTAGGTTGATATTTGCATGTTTCCTTTAGTGTATGCCGGAGATCATAACCAACCGGAAAGAGTGTACGCAAAGGCAAAGGTTTGCCTCATTTCCAAATAATGTGACTGCTGTACACGTGTGACTATACATTTGCGTTACGTTTTTCTAGATCACTGTAATATAAAAAAGATTTATCACGTAAATAGGCCAAGTTGTAAAAACATACGATTGCAAACTACTCTTCCAATATTGCGTGGGCAACAGTCGAACGTATAATTTGTATCCACGTTCATTGTTATATCTTTTCTAAAAGAATACTAGTCTCATTATTAATAAACGGAGAATATAATAGCCAAAAATCGAATGTCAACATAATGCGTAAATATTTACACGAATACATTATTCCCACAGACATTAATGCCTTTTTTGGCACGAGCCAGAAACACAAACAATTACGTACTCACATAAATATTAATATATCAACAATGCAAATTGGGTTATAATAGTCGTCAAAGTATGTGAAAATTGCGTTTTCGAGAGAATCTGGCATGGCGTCCACCATTATTTACGTCCTGGGAGTTTCGGGTTTAAATATTGATATTGAGAATATAACAGTTATGCGTGGATTCTCGTGCTAAAGAATTAGTGATTTCGTTCAAGTTTAATGAATGATGATAGTTTGGGAATTCTATTTATTTATAATAAACGCACAATCTGATGATTAGCGCCAACAATTAAATCGAAATGTCTGGTCTTAGAGATATACGTGTGGTTGTGTCAATCGGTTAGAAAATTAGCTTAGCATTGTCGATTCCACCAAAAGGCCTACAACGGTAATTAACAAAAGTTTTCTTCCTCGTTACCAAAGACTTTGGCACGACGTTTTCTGGCTTTGCGCTCGCACACGTAGATGCTAAACATAATATCGAAGTCTTTAATAGCTGGTAAGACACAAACTGAAGGAGTGGCATCCATCATAGTATCTGGCCCTAGTATCCCAAGGTCTATCTTAAAGACCACATTTATTTGACCTGGCAATACGATAGTCGTTAATCTTTCCCTCGGCTCTCATGGCAGCATTACTCGCATTTTTAAGAAACATATTGTCGCGTTAACAGAGACATACAGTCTCTAAACTTGTACTCATTATGTGATTAAACGTTACTAATACGCAAACTTGATTATTGCTAAAACTCAAAGGCCCAATGGCGAGTTGATGCGACCAAACCAAACCAAAGTTCCGACTATACTGCTGTATAATCAGAGTTTAGAAGTAGTTGGATGGGGAAATACTGCGGTAGCGCCTGGGGGACTGTACGGAGGAGCAAGCCAAAGAAGTTCTGATTCCCATTTCCTGGCAGAACAGTTCAAGCTCTATTTTTCAACCCAAGAACATATCCCCAAGCCACTCTTGCCTAATAAACTCGAATTTCTCAAAGCCATCACGGATTATTTGATAAAGTTACGAGAGGTACTTTTCAGTGTTTGAAAGCAGAGAAAAGGGAGCCGAGGAAAAGTATGGTGGTGACAAGTTTTAAAAAAAATAATTCATGCCTGTTATCGAAACACGACAGATCATACAAGATAGAGTCAAAAATAAATGGAGAGGAAGTAAGAATCAAGTTGATTTTAGTTTTGTGGGTTTAAACGCTTACGTTATAGTTAACTGTACAAGTCATTCTGTAGCCGTCGCCTTTCCCGATCAAGTCCGTCTAGTAATGACGCTACCAGTAGATTGGCCACAAAAAGCCTTGGTAGATATGCGTAATTGTGCCCTCGAGGCTGGGTTAATATCGGAGAGGCACTCGGACAATTTGGAATTCGTGACAGAGCGTAAGCTTTTTTGGTAAACAAATCTAGCATACTGTTTCATAACAAGGCTGTTAAAACTCTTGTTAAACTCCCCGATATGTATAATTCAGCCGAGGCAGCAGCCTTGTACTGCTTGAAAAACTGTGCCGAGTATGAATTAAATCCTGGAGGTAACCTTTCGCAATCGGGGGATACGTAATTTATCAAACACGTAGTTTCATATCAAACGCTAATTTTCTTTTCTCTTCACAGACGCATTCATGATAGTCGACTGCGGCGGCGGTACAATCGATCTGACGACAAGATACTTGATGCAAAATGGAGGGCTCGGAGAAGAGACTGAAAGCACTGGCGAAGCATGTGGAGGCTCCTTTGTCGACCGCGAGTTTTTAAAATTTATCGGTGATAAACTTGGCATCACCGAAAAGAAAATGGACGAACTGCGTCGAGATCACTATACTCAGTTTCAAAGAATGTTGGAAGGATTTGTATTTAGCGTGAAATCTCGGTTTAACGGCAATGAAGAAGATTTCGGATATACGTCCATGTTGCATCTTCAATCAGAATGTAAGATCCTCGTGGAGAATGTACACGCTGACAAAAAGCTAGAGATGGAGAAATCGCGGTGGTCGATTCCATTTGCGTTTAAAGACGTAAAGCAAATGTTTGATACGGTGGTCGAGAAGATATTGCGACTGATCAAGTAGGTTTTTTTATTGGTTGATTGCGGCACCACCACTCTGCACAATAGTTATACGAATTTCGTAATTGGTCTTTGGCAGTGATCAGCTGGTTAATGCAGGGAGGAAAATCGAGGCAATATTTATGGTCGGCGGCTTCAGGTGAGTAAATTCGCTTACCATGTAGCCAATCAACAAGTTCTGTTTTCGGATACACTAGGACTAATAATAATAATAATACTACTACTACTACTATTAGTGAATCGGAATATCTCCGACAACGAGTAAATGACAAGTTCAAGGAGAAAGTCAGAATCATTGCGACGCCAATGAATCCAATCTCTGCGGTTGTCAAGGGCGCATTGCATTATGGTAAGTATTAATTAGTTACAGTATAGGAATATGTATTCGGACAAACTTGTAGGATTAAATATCCTTATTATAATATGTAGGACTCGAATTCGAAGATGACCCCAACAAAGCCAACTATGGCTTAAACAAAACCATAAAGACACGCAGGCTTAAATGTACTTACGGAACCGATGTTCTTGATCCGGATATTGATCCGATTATTAGCATTCTCACCGGCAGCTCCAAAATGTTCTCTCTTATAGCCAAGCGCGGAGACGAAATTGCAGCCGATCAGGCATTCAAGGAGACATACACTCCTGTGAGAAGAAATCAGACCGAAATGAGCATGAACTTGTATTGCACACGTAGATTTGACGTAAAGTTCGTTAACGAAGAAGACGTGACGCTCTTGAAAAAGTGGTCTATCACCCTGCCTCCGCTAAAGACAGATGAATTACTACCACGGGTCGAGCTGTCATTGATGTTTGGCAAGTTGGAAGTAGCAGCGACGGCATTCAATAAAAGAACTGGAAAGAAATGTCAAGTACAATGCAATCTTCCTGAAGCAGACCGCTGTTAAAAAATTGCAAATGATATTAAAAAGTCATAATAGTTTAATAGTGGCGGGGTTTCAAACTTGATAATAATTGAGTATTTTTAATTAGTAAAAAACCAATATTAATATACATTGCTTAGGAGGAGAGCAATCACGTGAAATTCTAACACACTGCCATGCCAATTAAAACGAGTCATATATATATATTTTACCATCACATGAAAAAAAGGAGATGGGGGAAAGGGTGGAAATATTTACATTTAATAAGTCCTATGAGATAATTAAATTACACAAGCCATTATTAAAATGATCATCTATTTTTTACAGCCCAAAATCTATATACTTTACAAAAAGTTTCATACGTAACAAACTCTTCCTTGACACGACGCAACAATTCTTCATACTCCCCCAACGACAACTCCATGAATTCTGCAAGATGTTCGCCAACTTGGTTGTAATAAATGAAAAACGTATCTTCCAACAAAGTTCCCATCCTCCCGCCAAGACGGCTAATGGATAAAGGTCGGAAAGAATGTTCTATGTCACCGAGACCATTAGTTGCGGCAAGGAGAAGTTCTAATTTGCGAACTATCTCGCTGTCCATATGCTGCAGAGAAAGATATTGCAACACTGAAAAGGATAAAAGAAAAATAAGTACTGTATATTACACACACGCGACAACTTAGCGAATTCGAATGTTTGACCAGCAACTTACTTGATGTGACGACTTGTGAAGAATCTGGTCCCATGTTTTGTAAACGATAGTCTGGTTCCATTAGTTCGAGGAAACCACCTGGTTTAAGAACCCTAATAATAAAAGGTTTTCGTACTATTAAAACTCTGATTTTCGTAAAAAAATAAAATACTTGCTGGTTTTGTGGTTTTTTTTACGTACCTCACAACCTCTTGAAGTGCACGCTGCCATTCGTCGTGCATAAATGTACCCGAAAATAAAGCCATTCTTATATAATCAAAAGAATCATCCTCAAATGGTAATTTATCAAGCACATCTGCTTGTACAAACTTGACATTGTGTTGGCTGATTTCGTTGGGGCTGGGGAAAAGATTATTGATGTCGATTCCTATAAAGTCGGTTAAAGGATATGCAGAGGCTATGTCAAAAAGCCATGTGCCAGGACTACATCTGATAAAGTTTGCGTGCGTTAGAAAAGGATGTTTGTTTTTTTTTCCCATTACGGTTAATCCAATCTCTCGTTTCAGAAAACTCACCCGACATCTAAAACTCTTGCGCCACTTGTCAGTTTTTCTTCCACAGGAGCTGAAAAATTGCTCTGCCATAAGAATTGATATATGTAGTGGGATACTTCTTGAACATCATCGAAAGTTTTAGGACGTAATAATTTCAGTTTCTCATCTGTAATCGATGAATAAACTGGTTGTGGATAAGAGACTGTGACGGGTTGTTGTTGTTGTTGTTGTTGTTGTTGTTTCTTTGATTTCGATAGTGAGAGGGATTTTAGTTTTGATTTGAGGGTGGAGGAAGAGGAAGAGGAAAAGGAGTGTGAAGAAGAGAATGACGAGGTTGGGGAAATGCTTAGTGACGTGTTGTTGCCCATGTGAAAAACCTTGTTTTTAGTTGGGAATGGATATCTTATTCGATGAGAAGGAGAGGAAATATTTATAACGAAACAAAATGCAGAGAAACGTGATTTATTTGTTATTATGTCGTATCACTAGTGAGGTTTCTTGTATACTCACTTTAATTCATTTAGCAAGCAAATAGCACGCATATATATATAAATTGGACAGGCAAAATACCGTCAATTGCCTGTCATTTCTTCAAACAGTCTCCTCAGCAATGCCATTGGTGGTTATGTAATAGTCGATACGATAGGTGTTTTAAATGTTGTGTTACTTCTTATTGTCCGCACAGACGATTCCGGGAAATGCGTTTAGTATTAGTGAATGACGTTTTGTTTGCTATATATTATTACAATTATATTAGTAGCCCCGATATTCCAATTGCTAGTCCCTTGTTTATTATTTTTAACTCGTCTGGCTAAATGAATAGTCCCGTTGCCGTATTATTATCAAGGATAAACTTCACATGCTTGCATTAAAAAATAAAAATTGTAAATCCATCTCTCCAGGAATTATGGTGGATTGGCAATGCAATGGTTATGGCTATTATTATGTAATAATTATATGTAAACAGGCAGATCCAGACCTTAGTATTATATAATAATAAATATATCTTGGAAGCGCTTTCCTGTTAAAGGATTTGTATAATAATCTGCCAGAATTACAGCGTTAACGAATGATTAATAAGTAAATGCATAACGGTTAGGGGCCTAGACCGCTTAATAATAACTCAAGTTGTGAGTGGGTGTTAAACCGAGTCTAGAACTTTTGCTTACATAATACACCAAATTAGGATGTTGCGTAACCAATAATGACATAATAATATTATTGCATAAACCCATCCATTCGGAATCTCCTAATCGAGGCCAGATTTTCCTATGGGCGGAAATCAACCCTTCAGAATCAGATTTTATTATGTAAAAATTGCATGATGGTAATGCGGTTTAATATTACAATAATGACGACAATGACGAGTCACAGAAACGGTTATCGTTGACGGGTTCTAAAAAATCTCTTTTGGGGACATGCATAATGTATTAGTAACACTCTTTTCAATTCAACCACTCGCTTGAATACTGACAGTGATATTGACGCAGTATTGTCATTGTTCTATTTGTCATAATGACGTTATTTCCTTGTCCATTCGACCATTTCCCCCGGTTAATAGTTGACCAGATAAAGTTTTGTTCATAGAGTGCAGATTGTATGACATTTGACAATATAAAGATTATAAACACAACTTGGACGTGGAGATAATATTGTTGTCCCCTGACATAAAAGGAAAAGTAAAAGAATGTTTTTGTATTGCCCCCCTTTTTCTACAGACATCAATGAAACGCTCAATAACCGAAAGAGTTTTGACCTTGATTGAGCCTATCAATCTATCGAATACTCGGTAATTAAAAAGTGCGAGTTTTCCAGTTTTCAATGTGACATGGCTAATGTTTCGTTCTAGTTCTAGATCGTTTAAATCGGTTGGTTTTTTTTTTCTTCTTCAACGCCGATTCATGCTTTGAAATTGTACAATTATCATCGTTCCCCAATCGTAGATTTTTGTAGACACAACATTTACATAATTGGTAAGCAGCGATCACCATTGTCCAACGCGCGAAATCCCCGCATTTTCCTGATCTCGGTTCACGGACTTGTCGCCGCGATGGTCCGAAGTGGTCGCAAAATAAATATAACAGTGTACAGCAATAAATAAAAATGTTGTACGTAAAACTTTTTTTTCTCTCTCTCTCTTCTTTCTCGTCTAATTGAGATTCGTAGTGGTGCGATATGCTAATGGATCAAGCGTTGAACGCAAGTGATATTGTATGACCGGTGAAAGAAGATTCGATCAAAAGACTTTTTCTGGCAAACTACAAACGCTCGCATCCAGTTAATTATTTGTCTCCATTGTTTGTCATTCTATGCAAGTAAAGCTTAACCCTTTTGTGGCAGACTACTTAAAAAGACGGTAGTACAATACTTATCCTTGAAAGTTATCATTCAGGCGTTATTATAAACATTCATTAGTTAGCTGTATCTTGTATTGGATATACGGTTACTCCGAAGCGTATTTTGCAGAGAATTATGAATTGATAGCTATATCGGCACGATTTTTCCCGGTATGCAAGGATTGCATGGGCGCAGGAAGGTAAATCACTACTAACTTTCTACTTGTGCGTGCGGGATGGCCAAATGGGATATGTAACTCGATGATGCTATTTCGAACAACGCCATGATCGCCAATATAATTTGATTTGTTCACTTTGAGAAGCTCTTACTCACCAAAACGTCACCGCTACTACCTCCTTGTTTGAATGAGAAAATTGGTACATCTGCCGGTCGAAATCCGCGAAGCTGTCAACAAATGCAGCGGTTGAACAACCTATAGTGTTAGCTCCGATATTCCTAATATTAATATCTAAGAAGCCAATTGGAACTCCTGCATCGTCATTCAATCCTGTTAATTTTTTTGGACAAATTACGCGGGTAAAGTCCGCTTTAACAGTGCTCCGTTCCACACGTAATTCGGATAATTCATTAAAGCGGACTTTGGTAACGAATTTTCATATGCATTGCACGTTTTTCGTTAAGTGGGCAATCAAGAACAGCTAAAAGACCTATGTGTTTTATCTGGTTCTCTACTAACGCCATTTAATGAACCCCTCCAATCGCATCTATAGTGCTATACTTATTACAGTTTTTATTAAATTGATCATTTGTGTTGTTATTTAGTATGTACCATTTCGTATGTTATGGGAAATTCTACTTTATTCGACTGGTAGTTTTATGAACTCGTTCCAAACTTCACCGTGTACATAACTATTAAATGACGTCATCATTTTATAACAAACTTGAATAGCAAGCATAAATATTCACCTTAGAGTTGTGATGACATGACAACTATAGGCGATGACTATAATTCTGGTCGCATAGACGCAAACGAATTTCGTTGGTAAAACATCAGATGTTGGTTAGCATTAGCAAGTTCCTGTTCAATTAGATCAACAAGAGACGCGTATACCACAGACTCGACGTTATATCTGTTCACTATTTCACAAACCATTTTTATTCGAGACCTGCCCCGCTAGTAATACACGTGATCATAAGCGTATCCGTCCATCAGTGCAACCAGTGACACTGTAGGGCAAACGACATAACTCACATGAGGCAATATAAAATACATATGTACACACATGATACAATGTTCCCAGTTACTCTCTCTCATATTATACAGCCGCCCATTCCAATCCCATCGCACCGACCAACTATTTTTCGTCCCCAATGCCTATAACTATTTACCCAACTCTCTCTCTCATTTAATTCCTCCAAAAGTGCAGCAACAATTTCCATGTACTCTTCTTTGTTCAATGCCCATTTAGACATCAAGACTTCTTCATGGATTATTCCAAAACACATGTTCAGCATTTCGTACGATGCCATTCCCAAACGACCGCCACGACCACCTACAAGAAGACGTTGGTGAGCTTTCTGAAGCGAGGTTAAGACGTAAGTCTGGCTGAGCAGATCTGGTAATGATACGGATGGTTGGAAGGATTGCTCTCCGTGCTTTTCGCTTTGGGCTTTGACTAGAAATAACAAAGTGGGTAGATTAGTAATGAGATCAACGGATTATATGTCACGAATATATATTTTATATGATCATTTAAAAAGAATCAAAACCAACGTTTAAATTCCTCGCCAAACATTGCAAAGTATGGACCGCCTTCTTCAGGAGAATGCTCAAATTCACTCAGCTCAATGTATCCGCCAGGTTTCAGTATTCTGTAAATAATGAGAATAGTCACATAAAATTTTAACCAACATATCGAGATCAGCTCGTCTAGCGAGCGTGCTATGAATCGTTGGAAATCAAATTTCACGGATCGCTCACCTAACAAGTTCAGTAATGGCCTTCTCGTAATTTTCTTTGTTAAATACCATTAACATATTGCTCATTCGTACGTAATCAAAAGTATCATCGTCGAATGGCAATCTCGTTAATAAATTGCCTCGCATAAAGTACACGTTCATGGGTCGTATTTGGCTTGGGAATACCGACGATGTCTTGTCTAGGCCTATAAATTCTGATGCCGGGTTATTGTTTGCCTGTTCGAGTATCCACGTACCGTTCCCACACCTTTCAGAGGAGTAAAACGGGTTAGAAGAAGAAGAAGAAGAAGGAAGAGAGAGAGAGTAGGGAGAATAGGTAGAGTAATAGAGATTTGGATAACAATGACGAGGGTAGCAACAACGAAATAAAACTCACCCTGCATCCAGCACTTTAGCTCCGATCTCCAACCGCTTGGCTATCGGTGCACTGAAAGACGATTTCCATGCTGTTTTTTCGACGGCATACATCAAGTGCATGAATTCTTCCATCTCTTGCTCTTTTTTCCCCAAGCCATCATCATCGCTTAATAAAGTCATTGCAGCAGGTCGTTTCCTGCAGTAGCGAAAGGGACGACGGCATCGTATCTTTGTGTTGAGTGTTCCCATCGTGCTCTCAAAGTCGATGGATAGATTTAAGAGTTTGATTGTATAGAGTCTCTAGAGACGTAAAAATTTACAAATATGACGGCTCTATTCTTGCGTGTTTATGAATGTGTGTGTGTGTGTGTGTGAATGTATGCGTGTAATGAATGTATGCGTGTTGAATGTATGCGTGTGTGAATATATGCAGTATACAAGTGTATGCGTGTTGAATGTTATGCGTGTATATTTCAAAAGGAATGGAGATATATATGTCGCTAGGACTAAATGGATTTGTCGTAAGATTAAAAGTTTGAAAGACCCCTCAACTTATGCCTGAATCTAAACAATCAATGTGTTGCAACAACGTACACTTTGATCGTATAACACATATATGGGGGTATTGTCGCATACAAACAAGTTTTGATGTTTGCGATTTTTTTCGTTTTCTGCGACAAGGTCACCCATTCTTAAACATTTTTCTCTGCTCCCTTTCCCCTTACATCACCAAATTGAGATCTTCGGATTGAATAACCCCAAATGGAATGGTGTGAAATAATCAGTAATGAGCGATTGGTGGCAAGAAACATTAATTAATGTACGACAAAGAAAAGCGAGTATATTACTGCCATTCGGATCGCGCAAATTGAATGGGCCATTCTTATTATTAGACGAGTCTCGTGGGGGGAAACTAAATAGCGGGCAGATGCAGAGTCTATTAACAAAAATCCGAAAATAAACAAGGGCCTTTAATGGTTAATATATTAAATCTAAAACTCTGTTTCCGAAAATAGCAAGGTTAAGATTGGAGTAAACATATGGAGCGCGAGCAATTAATGAACAATAGCATTAATCTATTGGAACCCTGCGAAACGATATTTTATGTGCAACCCAGATTTGTAAAGAGGGGGATTGCAAATGCAAAACGGTGTGTGGTCTGATTTCCCAATACTAAATACTATTAAACATGATCTCAGTAACACACACTTTCTATATAGAAATGCTGATTGTCTTTATTCCTTTTTGTGCAAATCGTTGTTTCCGGCAAAAGTTAACTTTATTCGATAAGCTGTTTGTGAATTACACATTAATAACAATACATGATCGTTATGCCATATTTATCGATTAGTGCCACTGCACTAAATTTTCTCCACAATATTTAGAATATTCTGATCATTCTGATTCGTTCGTAACGACGAGAGAGAGAGCAGTAATGCGGTTCCATTTTCGCAGCGTCACAAAACAACGTGCGTAAAAATATGGTAGTACGTATTGTTCATCTGGTCACGCTTAATCAAAAGTATCTTTGAAACCTGTTTCTTCCCTCAAACTTGTGTTTTTTCTTCTCTCTAGTTTTAATCTCAACCCTTCATATACCGACTATATTATTCTCAACTTGACTGGTTAATTGTGTTTCTGAGCCCCTTCTCTCGGCAATCTTTTTCATTTATTTTCATTAATTTATTCATTTCATTAGATCACACCTGTGTTGACATCTCTAAGTTTCCGTATTACCTTTGTTGCAACAACCAATAAAAGTTTAAAATCTACCCTCCATTTACAAATTCTTTCCTCACACGAAAAATTCAGGGCACCTAATTACCTAAAAAGTCAATGGTTAACGTAACAGTAATTCGATGGCCTTCTCTATACATTGTACGGTTTTACACAATCAATCTTACACAGTCAGTCTTACACAGTCAGTCTTACACAGTCAGTCTCACATAGTTGGGACAAGATTAAATTATCATCTTCAGTCCACGATTAAACTTTCAGCTATTGTGGTTATTGCTTTAGATGGCAGCTTCTGTTTCTTTAAAATCACTCACATGCCTTAGTTGCAGTGTTGAAGAAACTAAATCTTTTCAATTTCCGTAAAGGCTGCTTTATTTTTAAAAAATTGCCAAGCCCACAATATATTTTTTAAAGAGTTCAGAGTCAATAAAGTTGTACACGAATATCGATAAACCAGTCACGCCTTTTCGGTGCGATATTTTGCCATGATAATAAATTTTTGATAACACAATTCTAAACCGTACTTACCGCCTTTCATACATTCTCTGATCCTATACTAATACGGTTAAACAATTTTCAAAACCAGTAGTATATTTGGGTGAATATAGCGACGTATAGATATCCTAGAAACATTATCTATAATTTGCTTTATTGTAGAAACTGTGACATATGTATACGTCTGCATTCAATAAATTACCTATCGCAATAAACTATCCAAACAAGCGAAAATGCTGAAACTCCTCGCTGTTCATATCAATCTCTACCCATCGACGTCTTGCGCCCGTACTGGTATCCCCATCATTCCCGGGGATACGTGGGTCTTGTGTTTTCTGGCTAGCGATGCTGTCCATTATATCAATGGAGCTTTCGTCGCCAAAGTACCCCTGAACACTATTTGTCCGAGTATCCGGTTGAACCGTGGTGGGTGTATTAAATATACGCAATAAATGTTGGTACATTTTTGACATTTCTTCGTCGTCGTGTTTGGATAGATCATAGAAATATTGTAGTCGTCTGTCGTTTGTTTCGCAGTCATCAAAGGCATTCATAGCGGGTACCTGTTCATTCAAACAACACCTTTCGTGAGATTTTGTAACGCAGCAGATAGTCACCAACGCAACGAACCAACACGGTGCATTGTTCGCTAATTGTTCTCCTGTTTTACAATATGATATTACTATCAAGTCAAATTACCTCATCCTCGTCCTCAATGCTTGTGGCAACACCATACAATTTATGTAGATTTTCCTGATCATCGCTTAAAATTGAAAAACCAAGGAGCGATCTATTTGAACCATATTTCGTAGCAATGGACTCTTCGACTATTAAAACGCTTGCAAGTGCATCATCGAGACTGCCAACACTTCGAAGACACAGCTACGTAAAAACACAGAGATGTTAACAAAAATAACAACAAAATGGATAAAAGTTTGTAATATCGACAGTTACTTTTGCATGACATATTGCCAGAGAGAGCAGAGTCTTGTAATTAATAGAGTGAGAATGATAGTATTAGTTGTGAATAAAAAGACAAATTATCTCCGTTTTAAGTTGTACTAACTTCTAATAGGGCAGTCGATGATGAATAGCCATGGCTTCCCCCTTTTAGTTTTCGAAAGGTTAAATAGTATTTCCGAAGTAAATCTTTACATTCCTTTGACAATCTAATCTCGCAGTCAGTCAATAACATTAATGAATATACTTTTTGGACAACATTAGAAAATTGCCTTACGTGACTTCGATGCTGCGTGCCGCTACAATATACTATTAAATTGTGCGCAACGTTAGATAACAAGACTAATATATTCTTGGCAGACTAGAAATATTTACATTCTTAAATTCTTCAAATGACACGCGTTCTTTGGGTTTCTCATTGTCGGAATATTGGTCGAAAACGTGATCAATAAGCGAATTAGAAGTTTCAGAGTCGACTGTTTCCTTGATATAAATTACAAGATCAAATGTACTTTTATACGGGTCGAGTTATTATCGCTTCATGTGACCACAAAGTTCATTAATCATACTTACTCGACAATCGGCTTCACAAGAGCTCTGCATACAATCTACAATAATAGTAAGATAGTGATGTTAACATTCATATGAATAATCTTACTCTCGATAGTCAACTACCTAAAACCGTCTTTTACGCACTTCGACGCCATACTGATTCACATCTTTATGAGTTGGTATGTACTTTCCCTTGGTTGTTGCTTTCCTTGTAGTTGACCATGCCCAGAGACACGCATCAATGTCCATACACAACTGATGGTATTGTGTTTCCAGCATCGGTTGTGAAACAGGTGTTATAACTGCCAATTAATATAAATCATTGAAAATTAATTTGCATTGTGGATACAACAATTTCAATGTAAAAAAACAATAGCCTATTATCGTCTACCTTGTCTAACATCATTAATGTCTTTCTTAGATATTATATCCATATTTACTAGTAAAACTCCATCATCAACCCTTGACAAAATTGCAGCTGTAAAATGACACGTTAATAATAATTCGCAATATTAATAAAAGCATGTTTTTTATATTCACATTCGAGTGTTCTCTCTGATTGAGGTTTTTTTCCTCCATACTCTACTGAAAAGAGCGGTTGCCTTCTATTGCCAATTCCATAAGCCCATTCCTCGTGTCTTGTAATAAAAATATTAATATAAATTATTGAAGAGTTAAGACGGCAAAAAGCGAATTTACCTAGTAAAGTTGGATGCTTGTCGTAATAACCTCCTGACAGTATTATTATACTCATCGCAAATAATAAATAGATGCAGCTTATTGAAGCTATTAATATGCTCAATGGTTTTCTCGGATATTGATATGAGGCTTGTTAAATACAAATACGTTAGTATCTATAATTTACCGGCCATATTTATTATTAATAATTACCTTAATAACAAGCACAGTTTTATTTTCCTATACGCTTTTCTAGGAACAACATCTTCTAAACGTGTGTCAAATAACTACGTAAATTGTCGTTTACTAAACCAATAATTACTCACCACAGAACACATCAACAATACGTTGAGTGAATGACCAGGCTGACAAATTTGCTGTGAATAAATACAGTTAAAGCTGCAATTTTCAACATCTCAAATTATACACAACGCTCAGTTACCCGTTTGCAAAAGAGTAAAGTATTCAGGCGCTTGCATTAATCTGTCATGGTTATTGAGTGACTGATGTAATCGGTGGCAATTATTAGAATTAATATTTAATTTACTATTCAGACATGAATTTAACTATTTCACTCACCACTGGGATGTTTCTGATATTAATAACCTTATATTTAACCAATCGATTTTAAATTTTAATTATATGACAAACATAAGGCAAGAAAGCTTGTATATACTTACTTCGACATGCACACCAGTGTCAACTGTATTATTGACCCGGTATATATTATCTACAATGTACGAGATTTAATCAGTACATTCTTTCTTGTAACATTCATGTGAACATACCATCAAGTCCGTGAAAGTGTCTCTTTGCAAATCCAATAACTTCTATAAATTGTCCCATTTTTACTGCATTAATAAAATCGTCTACATGAAGGAATCACGACGTTATTCATTGTACGAGAATAAGGGCGCAGCTACTTAGTGTAACGCTTTATGCGAACCTTTGAGAATTGCAATAATACTGCTACCGAACGATCCAGGCGGAGAAAGCGTGGGACTTAGGGATGAAATGCGAACGCGTTGGTAGGCTGAATAGATGCGAACAGATGAGTTTTATATAATCGTCAATGATTACAAAATAAGGTTAAATATGTGAACTTACTAGTATAGACTCTGTCTACAACTAGTTCTTTCATCCGAACACCGCAATGCGAACATTCTAAATCAATATCGTTTAACCTTGCGCTTAGGCGTTTACAAGTACATAGTTAATAGAACAATCCCTTTGTATATCGTAATCAAAAGCCTGTAAATAAACCACAGAAACCTTGTGCTTGTTTTTAAAAACACTTTTCCCTCGGTCCGCTTAATTACCCGATTTGTGCGAGCAGTGGGAATTACGTGAAGGTAATTCTGGTTTCGACAGCGGGAATTTTTGCAATGAAATGTTTGACTATATCTAAAAAAGAAATACATCATTAGCTAAATAAATAATGTTAATATTTGAGAGTATGTCAACAATATACCAACATTTCAAATGATGGAAGCCACATGCAATCTATGATACCACGTAATATACATAGAGACCCATTTTCGCAATATCTGGTAACGTCATATGTTTCTGCGATTGTGTTTAACCTGTAACTGAAAATAGCCATAATAAAAACTTGATCAAACGTATCCAAACTTGTTCCTTCCGCGCCGCAAACAAAATCAGCAACGTACCTTTCGCCAACGGAGCTTAACCTAATCCTACACCTTACCTGCTCGGCGAGGAGTATGTTGTCATTCTCAATGACAGATTGAAGAATTATTAGTGATGCTGTCGTAAAATCCTCGGTTATGTCAGAGAATGTTTTAGGTGCTAGAAGAGCCGACGACAGATGAGCTGACGCAATGGATTGTATGAAAATGTTAATTAGATATTCGTAATTTATATTAGAGAATATATGAATAAGTACCGTCGAAGGATAAAAGTGTCTCGGCATTGACATTAAACGTGACGTTGTATCGATTTATAGTAAAGTTATTCTGTAGTTAAGTATAGCAATAGTAATAGTTATAATGACGTGGTATATTTAAACATGTACGTAAACACTGTACAATACTTTGCTACGTTCTCTCTGTGACTGTTCCTTTGCTTCGTGAATTTCTTGCATATGATATCTTGTAATATCTTTTAAATAGAGACGTATATGTGAATTTTATTATTTATATCGTTAATTTTTAAATTCAATTGTCACGTACAGAGCTTAATTTTTTCTATCCGTCGCACTTCTTCTGAATCAACGGGTAGCAAATGATTGTCGACTGAATGTACCTGCGAAGACTGTTTAATGTTTATTATCTTAGTGTTCAATACAAATATCTATATCCCTTTAACCCCTCATGTATTTTTTTACATACTTCACTCTCAGTACTTTCTTCGCAGATCCTTTGTTTTTTATCTGTTGCAAGCGAAAAGGAATATTTTTGTATAAAGTCCTTTCTTTTCTGACTCAGTTTGTTCTCAAGAGTTGTTGAAGTTGGGTACACTGATGGGGGGTATGACATTCCAAGCTCACTCGTCGACGAGTCAATAGACGAACTATCATCGCAGTCATGAACGTCATCTACAATGGTATTATCACTGTTGATACTTTCGTAAATATTTGCGTTGGTATGGTACGCGTTACCGGTAATTTTGCCACTTTTGTTTGCGTTATTTGCGTTTGAAACAATTACTCGGTCGCTGCCTCCCCTATTCCATTCTTTCTGTAACCATTCTTTGCGTGGTAATCTAAACCTTGCCCAATAAGCATCCATATCACTGATCGATTGAGTCATTGATGCCCTATTTTTTGAACAATCATCGCTAGAAAATGTAGTCTGCCGGGGGCATAAACACGAAAAGTCGTCCTCCTCTTCCGACGTTATGTCAAGAAATAAGGTGCTATCTGGTGTTTTAGGGTCTTTGTCTCGCTTGTTATTTGTAACAGTTGGGGTAATTTGCATATGACTAGCAGGTTTAATCACATCAGCGAATTTGTCGTTGCATCTTGTTCTGTTATAGTCTGTTTGAGGTGTGCTGTTATAGTTCATTGTATATTGTATGTATATTTTGATTTGTTTTGGATAATTGATTTCGAATTGTGACAGCCTGTATTTATATGTTTCTGTTGTTTCTGTTATTGACGCGAAATAAAGCGCGTAACGATAAAATGCATTATGTTATCATACTATTGGTATTCTTTAATACTTTCGGAGTTTTCAATTTGGGTGGTGTGTGAGAGATCAAACGCCGCAGAATTAACGTATATCTGATGATGCAAAAAGACTGGGTCGAACGAAAACAACAAAATTTTTGACTGATTGTCGAGACTTGGTTCGATAGCGTTGTTTGTAACATTCAAAATTTTTTAATTTGAAAAGATTATCCCCATTTTAGTGGGGTTGATAGCAATAGTAATAGCAATAATGGCATGTACGTACAGAGACATTCGCACATGCTGGTAGTAAACTGCCATGCATCTAAAAGTAAAATCTGATTATCAGAAGAAAAGATATACGTGTGGCGGCTGAGAATAGGTATATTACTCAACGATCTGTGTTCTGAGCTAAACACAGTTATGATTTCTTAAGAGATAAAAAATTTGACTTGTTCATTCTTGAGAAACTCTCACTTGAAGTTGCAAACCAGAATCAATTGGAGAATTTTACTCGTGAACATCACCGTTACTTCGTTTTAGCTAAATAGACAAAAGGCGCATCTACCACGACATACGCCAATAAGTTGTTAGTGGTGAAAGGAGATAAACTACCGTCTTTGAGTATCATTTATCGCTTGATTGAAACATTCGAGCACAGACAGCAAGGCATTAAAGATGAAACATGCGCTGAACAGGCCTCGCGAAGCTGTCACAAAAATGAGAATTACAGATTTGAGCAATTGTTAATGATAACCGCCATTTAACAACACAAAAATTAGCTAAATAAATTGGGAGTGAATTGATCATGTTCTTCGTCAAGAGTTCGGCCTGAGAAAAATAGGTTCTATGTAATACTGCGCCACATATTTTAAACCGGTCATAGTCACGAAAGCATTTAAAAAGAAAGAGTTAATACCCATGACACTGTGATTTTTTCTATTTCCTAAGAACTTGAAAATAAAACGTATAATAAGGATGAAAATCTCACGTTGGCTGTTCAGCCAATTACGCAAAAGAGGACTACCTACCTAGTGACTTGCTACTACCAAGAGTTTACACAAATACCAACTGTCTTGGCTATCAGTAATATGTAAACAATTACACTACCCATTGCAGCACCTTACGCACATTCCCTCGTAAAAAATTAGCTGTGCTGATTGATTTCATGGTCACGTCATATCGTGTATTGTGCACTTTGGATGACTAGTTAGATTTTAAAATGTAATACACGATGGCTCTCGATATAATGATCTTCGATAATATGATGTTGGCTAATATGATGCTTTTTCCCGGGCCCAACTCAGTTGTAATAAAATTAGGCTCGATATAATGAAGATTACTTATAATCTCGCGATATAACGTTATAATAATAGTGATGTTTTGTGCGATTTATATAACGAAGTTCGTAAATCATCACCATAATTGGCGAGCAGAACATCATATTAATATTAAATTAAACCAAGTAAATTGATGTTTTTGTGACAAGTTTTATTCTCTTTAACTCATTCTTGCAACAATTAAAAGACAATGAACAATAGAAGTACGATTAGTAAAAAACCTGCAAAAGGGGGGTTTATGTTTAAAAAAGACTCTAGACAAAAGTTTTTCTTTAGCGAAGAGGAAACGCGAACGAATTGCCGCATATCCTGTGATTGAAGAATCTCTTTATACGTGGTTAGAACACGCAAATCAAGTTTTCCAAGTCATATCTGGTCATATTTTGCAAACAAAAAAACGAAAGCTTTTGCAACTCTGGCAAATATCGACACCTTAGATTCTTTTCCAAGATAGTATAGTTATCTGAACAATTACCATACTGTATATTGTATATAATAAAGAAATTTTCGCTTGAGATGATAATGTTTCACGTGACTCAAATATGATCTGATATACAGTCAAAGCTCGTTATAATAGACAGTTGGGCATAACCCATGGATGTCATTATAACGCGAGTCCACAATAACGTGCATGATTTGTTATAATGGACTTCTTAATTATTGCACGTGTAATTCCATTATAGTGCGATTTTTTCCATACTATAAATTCACTTAATAATAAATGTCATCAGAATATTCCTTGTAAGTGAAAGACTTAGTCACAATCTTTATTGCACTCAACAAAAATAACAGTTATATCAATCGTTACATGATACATATGTCATATAGACAACAATATTACAGCAACAAAGCTTATTTATTGATAAAGCTATCCAGCTGTAGCTTTGTCAGATGGAGCACTTCTCGCCTCTCCATGCGTCGTATATTCACGAAGGTTATATTTTTCTTGAAATTTGTAATCCACCCGTCGGACCCTCAATACTGAGAAGCATCGCAAAGCCGGTTGCTTTTTCTTTAAAACAGCACCAGTGATATCGAGATTACAGGATAACGCATCTTTGGCCCAACTCCACAAGGCACATTCAACATTCTCATATTTTGAGGGCCGATTACGCTTTAACTGAGCAGTATATTCATCAGAATCCGTTGTAAGCCACTTTTCTCTTGCTATTAAGATTGCGGAGACGGTTTCTGTACTTCAACGCAAGTTCGCCATTCGTTGGTGTAGGCTTTTTCTCCTTGCCAAGACATAGTTGACGTTTCTGTGCATTTGTTAAAGATATTCCTTTAGATATATTATTAGGCATTTCGTATAAACCAAGTGCACAATGTTAAATCATATTAATATTGAGTTTGACTCCTCTCGTCCTATTGGCTGAAGCCATATTTCCATTATTATAGTGCGATTAATTGTGTTATAGACGATTCATAAAAAATTCCATTACTATAAGAATCCATTATAACAAGCAATTTTTAATATTAGAAAAAAAAAAGTTCTAAAAAAATTTCTCTTATAATGCGATTCCATTATAACATAGTCCTATTATAACGAGCTTTGACTGTAATGAACTTTCGACAGTATGAACCTTTTGGTCTGGCCCGACGACTTCATCTTATCGAGAGCCCTGTGTATATAGTATGTTCTGTACCGGCTCTTAGATAAAATTGAATTTAAGCTCGCGACGAGTCCTCCCTCTATAGTCCTATCTGGTGCTGTATAATTTAAAAGAGTTGGTGGAAAGTGGTTTGAGATGATTCAACACTTCACCTATACTGTAAATCAATCTCTAATAGTATGCCATCAAAAGAGTACTTTTAGAATTGACAAGACAATGTAGAGAGATTAAAGGAAAGTATTAGGAAAGAACGGCGGGGTTAAATTAATATTTATCATGTAAATAAAAATTTTACAAATTTAGCGTCAAAACTTTTTGAAGCCCACATAACAATCGAACTGGTTACTATGCGGACTTTGCAGACAAGCGGTATTTATTCCCTTTATTATGGCAGAGAAGTGCTACAGTACTCTGGTTTAACTTAAATTAAAAAATTCGCTCCAATATTAAACTCCTCACAGTCATTGTTTTTACAATGTATTGTAAAGTGTCGGATCGAAACACGTAGGAGAGCGTTTGTGTGAGATTTAGCGTCTTCCAACGGAGTCTTTGACTACTTCTGCTATCGATGAATGTTAAAACGACAGTTAGTGACCTTTATCTGGTTTTCAAATACTCACGATGCGTAATCGGTCTTGTACACGCTATTGCTATTTAACTCGCGTACTACGTCAATGGATTAATTTCGTAAGCCTATTAGTCGAGAAAGTTTTCGTACTAGACGCGTTTATGACAATTAAATAATAATGATAAGATTGAATTTGTTAACCGCAAATTCGGAAGACCAAAAAAAACCCCCAGATAATGCTTGATCGATACTTTGTTAGTAATACTAGTATTTGATTGGTTTAATAAATATTATAAATGGTTGTTATATAGTAAATTCTATAAGAGAACACCTCTATGATAGTACATATTTTGGCTGTCCCGACTGTGTTCTTTTATGGAGGTTGACTGTATATCGAAATTTCAGGACAAACACACGACTATCCAAAATCAGGACAATTTGGTGAAACGATAATTAGTATAAATTAGGATAGTTCTTTATTCTAATAAAAATCCGATTCAATTATAAATATTATTATTTCGTTTATTCCCTGATAAGAGGTACTTAGCGTCTGCCGTTGGCGAAGTGTAAAACGCTTTTCCCGTCATCGGCGAATAGGATTGATACTTGCCAATCAATTCTATTTAGTACTTTTGCATCAGGATTAGTGTTTAATTTAACGTTAGTGTAGAGAGATAATCTTCCTGACCGATAGGCTCTGAGATTAATCCCATCAGAGAAATCGACGTGATACTCGAGGTTAAGCAATAATTCAGGGACAGCGTATACAAGACCGATAATATACAGATCGTGAGTCTAAAACCTAGTAAAGGTCACTAATTGTCGTTAGTATTTAGTTTGAAGTAGGAAGAGCAAAAGTTCCCGTCGGAAAAGGACTAAATCCCAAGGATCGCTCTCCTAGGTGTAAGCTAGTTCGACATTATAGATAAAAATCTGCAAATGTCTGTAGAAGAGTCTAAATAAACCAATTCATTCCCCCCCCCCCCCCCAATTATTGGCACGCATCCGAAAACTTATTCAGCATCTGCTCCATCTTCCTCCTCTAGACTGAGATCAAAGAATTGACGACAGTAAGTTTCTGTCATCTTTAATACTAAAAAAACTTGTGTAAAAAAAAACTTACGTTGTTTGACTCAACCCCAATCATCCACATCAAAATATCTTTTATCGTTCTCAATTCGTTTGAATAGTTGACCAGGTTCTGGTGAGAATTCATAAGTTACATTTACGGCAAATGACGGAAGCCTTCTTGCTGTTGGTGAAAGTAATAACTCGGTGAAGCTAAGAAAAGTATCTTAAACTAAATCTGTAATTATCATCACACGCCGCTATAACATAACACCACCCAACATCCAATAGCTCTTCCCATGTT